ATGTATTTGTTTTATTAAAGATAAGCTATAAATCATATTTTTATTTTGTAATCTTGTAACTTGTTTTAGGAATTATTCTCAACCACAAACTCAACACTTTCTTGAGGCAACTCTCTCTACTACAACATTTGGTGCTTCTTCTAAAAGAGCCTTAAGGCACTAATTTCTCAACAAGTCAAGATAAAAGATACAAATCACTTTTATTTTATTTTATTTTTATTTACATAAGTTATATTATATATCTTTAAAATAATTCATGTATTATGGCTTGTAATATTTATTTTTTAAATTATAAAAATCACATATCTTCTAATCAATTAATATGTTTTTTTTTGTAAGTTTGATTTTTTTATTAAATTTTTTTAATAAAAAATAAAATTTGACATATATTTTTAAATTGAATTTTTTATTATTATTCATCTTTTTGGAAAAAATCTTCTTAGATTGAATCTGAAATAAGCTTGATATAAGTTTTATTTATTATCTAATTTTTCTATTTTAAATCGTCTTTTAAAAACATATCCAAAATTTAGATTTAAAAGTCTTATTTAATTTAGAAAAATATTAAATAAATCCATGCTTTTACTAAATAGATCCACTTTTAATGAAGAATATAATAATCATGATGAATGTAGTTGATTTTTATTGGTTGCACATCTAATAGTAGAGATATAAATCTAGAATATTTTCTTTTTTCTTTCATGATGGCTGAAATGAGTGGATTGATTTAAAATTCTCTTTGATTTATTGAATATTTCTTAGAAAACTATTGTTAAAGTGATTTTTTGATTATTTATTCTTCTAAAATCTATAAATATAAAACATGAGTTTAGATTTAATTTGAATTTTTTATTAAGACAATAAAATCATATTTTTTCCAAAATATTTTTTAAACTAATTATTTATTTTTTATTTTTTTATATACAAAATTCGTCAAAAATATAAAATTTTATTAAAAAATTTATTGTTGTTAGGTTTTGTACATATTGTATGAAAAAATGTTAATTCTCTTTAAATACCATATTTTATTTAAAATATCTTTTTTCTATAATTTTACATATTATAATAAAAATTATTGTAATTACGGTATTTTTTTAGCATATTAAAATTCTAAAGTTTAAAAATTTAAAAAAAAAAACATATTTATTAAAACTTAAAATACAATATTATATATTTTTTAAAAGAAATATAACTATTTAATGATTGAAGTTATTTATTTATGAATTCCTGTAATTTTTATGAATTGAAGTAAAAAAAAAAAAAAAAAAAAACTATATGCTTGTTCTTTCACATTCCTATCATAAATATTTCTTTCTTGCAATTTAAATCAAAGATTTTTTTTTAAAACATAACAATTCTATTAATTTACTTCTTAATTAATTTTTTATTTATTTTTTTCTTTAGAAATTGCTAACATTTATTCTTATTAGAAGCTTTTGAAATTCTTTTGCCTTATTTGATCTTATTTTTTGTTATTTTTTAAAATTTTATTAATGCATTTTTATAAAACATTTTATTCCATTTTTATTTAGTAACCAGATTATTTATTAATTTTTAGACTATTTTGAACAAAAACTAAACAAATATTATAAATTTCCAAAGAAATTTACATAAAAATCTTATTTTAATATTAACTTTAATTAAAACCATATATATAAATATATTCATATATTATAATCAAAAGAAAAAAATTTAAAGTTTTATTGACCAAAATTACATCATAAAAAAATTAAAATTACAATATATTTTTAGTATATAATTATTTCTAGAATTTAAACAAAAATATATCAATTTTTATGTCTTTTTTCTGCAACTTTAACACGTAAAATTTATAATTTTTTATCTTTTGAAATATTTATAATAAAATTTTATAAAAAGATATTTTCTTTAATTCTAATTTTTTTATTTAAATTATATTAATAAAAATTTAGACATATTCTAACTTATATTTATCTAAAAATAGATTTATATTTATAATTATAATGTTACTGAATTTACATTGGTATTTATAAATTTTTATTGAAATAATTAGTTTAAAAATTATATTTTTTATTCTAATGAAATATATATATATATATATATATATATATATCAATTTTTTTCAAATAGAATAATATTTTCTATTTGTATATTTAATAAAAAAAATCTTTGGCTCATATTATATCATTTAAAACTTTACATGCCAAATTTAATAAGAGATTTTATATCTAAGTTAAAAGCTTTAAGAACATATATAAAATAAAATAATTTTTGTATATTAAAAAAAAACATAAAATAAAAATATATTATCAATATTAAGATAATATTAAGATTCATCTTATTGAATGTCACCTTTAGTATTTTATTTCTAAAATAATAATTTATAAAATCTGTCACAAAGTCTTTTTGAATTTTTTGAATTTTTTATAATAATAAATATATTACGATAAATCAAAGTAATTTATTACTACACAAGTTTTAAATTATTAAAAAGCCAAATACGACATAATGTTATTATGTTATGACTTTTTGGTTATATGTGATTCTAACAACTTTTCAAAGAAACTAAAATTTCATTAGTGCATGTAATATTTAGTGCTGAAACAAATGTTTTATATATATATATACATATATATAAATAATAAAGTAAAATAAAAAATCTCAAGCCAAAAAATTCACACTTAAATACAATATCGATTTCAACTTCCAGTAATGTTTCTTTTAAAAAAGAACACATACACATACTGACATTTTATAAGGCATCATAAAAAATAGGACTTTTAAAAAATTCAAAAGAAATTACCTCATATAGACAAATAGTTTTTTAAATTTTAAATATAAATTACTCCACTTAAAAAGTTATTCTGCATATCTTTGAGATTTATGATCTTCCAAATTGTTAAAATATGTCAGAATTTTATTATTTTTTTGGATAGTTTGATTTCAAAACATAAAAGTTTAATTTTGAGAGATTATCAATAGCTTTGAATGTACAAAAAAAAGATGAGAAAAATTACTTGAATTTTAATATGTGGAAAAAGATAATTAATCTCTCTTAATATAATATTTTATTGCAATCTGTCATGTAAAAAATTTCTATCTTTTGTAATTTTATTAATAATATAATAATAATTAATTTTAATAGAAATAAATTCAAAATATAAATAATTTTATCAAAAATTCTCAATTTATTTCTATTTATGAAGAATTAATATTTATAATAGTTATGAAAAATTAAATAATTCTAATTCTTAACTTTATTTTATTATAATTAGATCTTTGTACTAAAATTTTAATGATATATTATTATCATTATAAAAAAATAATAAATTATATTATAGCCTATTTAATGATAAATTATATAAAATTATATATATATATATATATATATATATATATATAAAGAAGATATAGATTTCTTACAATATATAACTTAACATGGATTCTATTGGCTTATATTGATAGTTCTAATGTACAAATCCTCAACATTTAGGTGGTTTTTTGAAACTATTATATTAATTAAATTTTAATAGAAAAATGCATAGAAAAATATTGAAGTGTCTAATAAAATTGATTTTATATAGATTACTTGGCATTGAAATGTATTAATAACTTTATGGTAAAATTAATTTTATTCTATGACTAGCATTTGTTAAACTTTGTAACTTGGTATCCAACCACATTTAAGAATATTTTTGTATTAATTTTAAGAGTATACTTTTATACAATGATTGTAATATTATTTATTTAAAATATAAATTAGATTTATAATAGAATAGAAAAAAAAACCTATGAAATATCTTAACTAAATATGTAACTTATTATACTAAAATATATCAAGATTTTACGAGTATCAAATAACATAAGAATTTATGAAAAATACAATTTTATAAGTATTAAAAAAATACAAACAATGTTCTAATATTTGATCATATTTAATATTTAATAATTAAGATAATTATTATATAAAATAATATGGAGTAATATAATCAAAAATGCCAAAACTATATGATTAATTGGCAAAACTAAGATCAAATAAAACTTGAATGCTTAAAAAAAATTATCAAATCCTTTGACTCTTTCTATATATAATACAAGCAACATGTATTTTTTTTTAGTTCTAAAATAATTTTAAAGATTTAATATATTATGTAAAATAACTTAAAGAATAAACAAGGGGATATAACAAAAACCATCTTTGATTGGTTGAATTTTGAAAACATTTGGAGTATTAAAGTATATTTTGAGAGATTTTTTGACTAATGAGAGTTATAACTCTAAGATCATTTTGAACATTGAGTTATTTCAAAGAGTTATATATAGATAATTTGAATTGATTTTTGACTCATGACAAAAGCTTTTGATTTTTTGATTAGTGATAAATCTATAAACCTATGTTGTTATGAAAACATGTGCATTTTATAATGAATCTATATCACTTTATATGACAATTTGATCAAGTTTTGGACATCTATTGGTATTTACATGCACAATGAAGGTGGCAAGTATGACTCTTAATGGAGAAGCTACAAAGATGAAGAAGCAAGCAAAGTCGAATATAGCGATGGCTATATAGTCTACACTAAAGCAATGTGAGTAGAGCCTCAAAGAATATTAATGTGAATGCAAATGTAAGTAGAGTGAAATAAGGCAAAGAAAGATTCTATCTTTGGATTTTCTTATTAAGTATATACATATATATATATATCTTTTGTTGGTCAACATTTCTTGAGGAGTAAGCAATTTTTGACTTAGCAACCACAAATTAAACTTTTACACCTTTTTTGTGGCCAATATCACAAATTTCTTTCAACTTGTAACATTACATATCCTCAAAGTACAAATAATGTTTAACAAGATTACTAAAATTATACTATCTACTATGTGTTTTTTTGTTCAGAGTTCAATAGAATCCACCAACAATTGTGGTTAGTTCACCATGTTGGGTGTAGTCTTTTGTTTGGTTTTGAGGTTCCTCGTCGTCATCGTGGTGGTGGATGGGGGCCATGGCGATGAAGTTGGCGAAGCGTAGAGGAGGAGCCCGTCGGAACAAGCAAGGATGCGGAGTCGCGGTGGGACCGACTCGGGAGCGCCCCGCATCCATTGCCGTTACTAACTTTCACAGAGGTGGAGAGAATCCTCGTGACCTCGCAGTGAAACAGAGCGACGACATGCAGCTTTCCGGTTTGTTTCCCGCTCGGAGTTGAGTGATTCCGCGGCGGTAGTTGCACTGCGAGTTCGCCTTGAACTTTGTTTACGGAATCAGAACCGATTGCTGCTGTGGTCGTGGGCTTTGCTTGATAGAATCGATGTACGGTTTGTATCTAGGCTCTGACCTCGTGACACCACCACATTGGACACCTCCCTGATGCTCCTGTTTCTCTCTCTCTCTCTCTCTCTCTCTCTTTTCCCTTTTGTTTTGTTTTTTTGTGTTTTTGCTGTTGGGCGATGTGACGGGAGCGTTCTCCTTCCTTGTGCACTGTTCCTGTTACATCTGCGTCACTCACTCGCGGCCTTTGGCCCTTTTGCTGGTTCCGTAACCTTACGCGACCAACCGACCCGGCTGAATAGACCGCATCGTGCACAGAAGGCGCTACACTTTCCCCCGTCTGTAGCTCTTGTGTCTCCTGCTTCACAGCAAACAATCGTTCATCATTCTTTCATGCTTTTCCACATAAAAATAAGGTTTGGGTTCATGTGAAGCTTTCTTGTTCGGAGTGGACTGGTCGGTGAACAATAATGACCCTTGAACTATCGAAACATTCCTCAGCATGTATTTTAAAATTTGCACAGTGGGCCCCTGTTGTGTTGATTAGTTTCGGGTAACATAGCAAGTCAAGATGCCTCATCCAGTCCCTCGCCTATTCAAAGGGTTTGTTTTTTTTTAAATATCATTTCCATTCTAATTGAATCCATGTTTTCCTTCCGCTGTGCGCATGAGTTTCACTGATGAACCCTAGAATTCGGGTTCTTCTTGAACAGGCACGAATACTTAGCAGTCTTATTGTGATTCTGCACTAGTGCACGCTCTTGGACATTTCTCAGGCTGAATATTCTTGAGTGCGATGCCTAAGAGTGGTGTTAGAATATTATAAGCGGCAATGTCCTCTAGTAGGCCCTCTCACTGATTGTCATTCATCCGCCTTCAAAACGCCCGCACTGTCTCCCCTTTTGCTGAACACAATCTCCCTCTATAGTCCTTTTCTGCTCCCTTCCAACCATCTTGCGGAGTACTTGTGGTGCATACTCTGTTTTTCTAAATTGTCGTGCACAGGTCCTTCGGAACACGCTTCAATTACACCTTCCCGTTGAGACAACATGGAGCTAGGTCTGGGCGCAGTTCTGTAGTATCCTCGCTTCACAATGTTAGCTTGAGTGAGCCCGTGGGTTGTGCCGGTTGCTGTGCGGAGGTTCCGCAGAGATAATTTTTTCGGGGCTTTATTAGAACGCATACCCATGGCTATAGCGAGTGAGGCTAGGACGGCATTACAGCTTCCCGAAACGGATCAGTTGGAAGGCAATTCTGACTTGAAGGAAGTGATTATTGACTCTCTAGCGGAGCGCGACCCAGATGGCCAGGAACCTTTACAGGAAGGAGTGTTGCGTCCACTCCGAGCTTTTGATTACGTGGAGCTTCCTCCAGGTGTTGCAGTGAGCACGCCATGCAGCAGTGAGGGCGGTCTGCAACGGTTGTGGGAAGGTGGCTTGTTTGATGTTCGTGAGTACGCTGATGTCACGCTTCATACAGCCTGGTATTCACCTCTTCCTGATTGGCTATTTTCACGAGCTCTATATTGCAATGAAGTGCGTCGTATTATCGGAATGAATCTCATGTAGATAGAAACTGATGGGTTTCGGTGCGGCAGAGGTTCATCATGCTAGAGCTGTGTTGTTGAAAGCAGTGAGTGGATGTAGCTAGGAGAGCAAGAAGTCAGGGAAGCAGATGTAGATCGACTCATTGAATGATTGAATTAGGATAATTTTTTATGTTGAATTAGGTTCTTGATAGTTAATATTTGTACGTCTCTTGAAGTGCCATAAATGTACCATGGTTGAACTACAACCTAAGGTGAGTTGCATACTTTGTCTTTCATTGCTACCTTGTATGTATGTGTTGATCTCATGTCCGCATTTGGCGTCTGGCTCAGATCCCCTCTTTTCTCGTTTAATTTGATTTTAGGCAAGGTTAATAGAGAATGCAACCTGGTTTAGTTCATGTATCATCTTTTAAATTTTGTACTCAAAACCTACTTCTTAACTTTGCATTCAAATGCAGCTGTCCGTGGCACACATTTGGGACGAACATGGAGCGGTCTGGCTTTGGTACAAGCTGGGTTCAAGTAAGTATTTCTTTCTTCTGTGGGATACTTCTAATATTCATTTTCTCGAACACAATCTATTTTTTCACACGTTACCTCGTTTTTGTCTTTATGAAACACTTCAGTTGTGGTTGAGGATCGTGCACTATACTCAATTTAACGAATGGCTTTAAGGGTCACGGATCCGCATGGTTGCTTCTAGAAACTGCCAGTGAAACAGCAAGAGTTGGATGTATTTATGGATAGGTTATTGTTCACTCTCTCAAAGATATAGAATGAGAGTTTGAGCTTATGATCGAAGTTCTACATCACAGCCACAAGATGCAGAGTTTGACGATTTGCAAGGTTTTAGATCTTTATCATAAAGTTCTTGGTACTATGCCTATTAGTCAATAAAGAATTTCTCACATTTATTAATTGGAATGTTTCCATGTGCAGGGAGGATTTTTTTTGCTGCTTCTAATAGGAGCATTATGCTTTTACGTCACGTTTCTGTGCACAGGTTCACCATGGTACATCTATGGCACTGTGAGTCTATTTTTAGTGATTGCTATGTATGCTGGTCACTATCGTGCCCGCATACGGAGGAGATTTAACATTATTGTGAGTTCTGCTACCCATCTCAGTTTCAAATACGAAAGATACTTTATTCCCCCGACTGGACGGCGCCATTAGCATTTGCGTCACCTTTGTTTTGCTAAAGGTTTTGGCTGTGGGTGAAAAGGGGCATTTTTCTGTAATGCTTGATCTTTTCTCTCCTACTCATTTCTCTATTTGTCTCTGTTGTTCATTGAGTTGTTCGCGCACACCCCCCCCCCCTGCAAAGTGTATGTTGGTGCTTCATGACATTGATGTGTCGATCATGGTTGTGACAATCTTGTGCGCCTTGATTCCCACTCATTGCTTTGTATCTCATGATCGGGATACCTTTATTCGTCCTTTCCTTGTTTCTTTCCTTCTCTTTTTTAATATCGTGGAGGACTTTGGTTGCGGAATTTCAAAAATAGGACTAAGATGGTCGTTGGATTGTTCATGATCATGGTTACTGTTCTGAGGATGTGTAGGGAAGTGAAGGCGACGACACTGTCAGCACAATTGACGATCATCTTAATCACCTTATGTGCGGCTGCTGTTCACTATGTCAGGTATATCATCGTGGTCATGTTTGTTGTGTCTGAATACGAGGGCCATTTATTTGAAAATTTAAATCATTATTATCCATTGAGTCTTGTACATGCACCAGCAGTAATAAAACTTTTGTTCTCACTTTAGTTAGTTCCACTTGAAGTTGGGCTGAGGTAGTTTTATCTTTTCAGTCTTCTCTGAGCATTATATGTTTAGCCAGAACAGTTACAGACCCAAGTAGATTGTATGCATAGCAATAACAGAATTCCCTCCAAAAAAATTCAATGCAAGATTCATATCACTTAAGTGTTCCCTGAGCTCGTCCTGTCTTCTCAACCGATAGTACATTGATTATGCAGGAAGCTAGAACTTTAAAACATAACAATGTGCACAATGGAGTGTGGCATGGGCGTGGTGATATCCTTGTCATCGGCAGCCAGGTTGTGTTTTCTCCCAATGGTTTAGCAGATCCGGCACTGAATCGCCCGAGGAGATACCCGTCTTGGAGGAAGACATGCAAGGTCGAATTGCCTACAGAACCTGTATTTTTAGATACTGGAGTAGACCATGCGTGGACCGGAGAAGTACCTCAAATACAACACCTGCCGTTAATATCACGTTGAAGCTCAACATCTTGACTCTGTACTTGAATTATCTCCAGAGAGGAGCGTGATGCGGTGGAACGCTGCGTTGAACGGGCCATGGATGGATTGCGAAGTGTCAGTGCAAGCTTTCCTTAGTGGTGAATGCCGCATGCACATACATTGGAGCAACTAGATCTGCCGCTTTGGGCCTCAAAGGAGGTCTTGCTGACGTTTACTTGTCACTGGCATCAACAGCAAACTGGGAAACTCGTGGGTTTCGAAAGATACTGCAGCTGATGAGACAGGTTGTGCTAGTCTGGTCCTACTTCCAGGACCATACGAGCCCGTGGATTTCTCGAGTCCGTCTGCACTTGGCTACGGAATATCGGACCCCATGACGTTGATCCGCATCTAATGCAGCACCAAATTAGTGTCGAACAGTTGCCAAATTGGTGGTTGGTTGGCTACACACGTTCTCATCCCTTATCAGCCAGCAAGACCAGTTGAGTGTTCGTCTTCCTTATTGCCGAGTGGTATTATGGACCTGTTTCTAATAGGGTCCTTATTTTTTGAATTGCACCGGACTGCGGGATGAAACAGGAATTTGCGCTGCGGAGACCCCTCGGGCAGTAGATTTTGTAGTTTTAAGCCTCGGCATGCACAGAAGAAGACCCATCTCAAGCAACACTTTGTGCAAGCGTTAGCGGGACTTTATGGGCAAGCACATAGTGATTCCACGTGTTTCCCGAAGCGGCTTGCTCTGGATGGTAAGCTCAAAATTCCGTTTGAGATCGATCTCTCTGGTGGCACAGTGGTGATATTTCAGAGCTTATTCCACCGATGCACTGGTGGTGATGGGCCCATTTCATGATCAGGGAAACCTTTGGTATCTTTCTCCGGAAGAAGTTTCCTATTCAAGTTTGTGGTTGTAGCTCTTATCATCATGTGAAAACCAGCTTCTCAATTTTAACTTTTTTGCATTAAGACAGAATAGAGCACAAAGTACACAAACGCTGGTTTTGTTGGAACAAGTTGTGTACTTCGTTTTTTAAACATTTCTAACAACTTATGACAATGAACTTGTGAGAAGCTGATGCATGGTTCTGTTGGTTATCGTAAACAAAGACTGGACTCACAGTCTCTTCTCTTTTTTGCCATGATACATTATGAATTCACTTTTTATGTTGTATTATGTTATTTTATTTTATTTATAGTCTGATTAGTTTCTTAGAAGTGAAACATGTAAGAGTAATGCATGCCCAGCTTTCGAAGCTTCGATAGAGTTGAAGAGTTTCATTTCTGAGCTACCTGTACAATTTGGGTTGGTAGAGAAAGGCTGGATTTGCACCATTCACCCAATGCCATCTCTTAGTTTCTGCTGCCCGCAGCTGGCGTAGCTGAAATATATGCCCTCTGCTTGTCCCAAGATTTTCTTTTTTCCAAAAAAATTGCACCAAATGCTCAGATTACATGTGTAGTAGAAAAAGGTTTGGATGGTCTGACTCTTCTGATCACTCTTGGCTTGACAGGGTAAAGTGGCAGAGAGAATGTCTACCTCACAAAGGGAAGAGGGAAAAAAACCAGTAAAGTTAGAAAAAAAACTAAAAAAAAAAAAAAAAAAAAAAAAAAAGGAAGGAAGGAAGTACAGAAGTACACTAATGGCTTTTTGAGGGCAGATTTCCACTTTTCCCTGAAGCTTCCAGGGAAAAACAAAAAACATGCCCTATGACATGGATATCTTGGACAAAGGCTTGGGTGTGACACAAGATGGTGATGTATTACAATTAGGGTTTTTAATTCTAAGCATTATGTATGTAATATGAATGAAGATGAAAAGTCTCTGGGTTACCCTCCTTGGATGCTTTGGATGCTATGGAAATGTTCAATAAGACAAAATCACTTTGGGAAATATTTATATATATATATATATATATATATATAAATGAAATGTTGATAAATAATAAATTAGAAAAAAATGCAGTCGTGGACTTCCAACACTTTTCAAGAGCATTTTACGATTGAACCCCAGCATTGTATTTGTATATATATATATATATATATATAAATATTCATACATACATGGCATTTTAAAATTAATTATGGTTTTCATAAAAATAAAAATAAAAATAAAAATAAATAAAAACTTGTTCCCTGCAGTTTCAGATTATAATACTATGTAATTTTAGTCACAAAATTATTATTTTTAATTTCCAATTAATTTTTCGGATCCTCCTTGTTCTGTTCATTTTCAGACTGTTAAATTAATTTCAGGACTCATCCTTGGATGATTTCAAGTTTCCTGATCTTTTATAATAATATTCATATAAAAAACTCTATATTATATTTGTTCATCAAGTTTAACAAAAATACAATAATCAGTTTTTCGTAACTTTTGTTTGGTTTCTTTTCTTTGCATAGTGATTATAATTGTTTTGCAATTCAAAACCCATGTATGATTATTTTAATGTTATACTAAATCTACAAAGAAAAGAAAAGAAACCAAACATCAACAATAAATTATCACTACTCCAAAGATTAAGGCTTTTAAAAATGAGTTTTTCTGTACATAACAAGAGACCTTTGTAAACCTTTTGTACCATGATCTTTCAAAATGAACTCCTAAGTATAAAGACCCCCTTAACCTCTTTATTTATTTATTTTTATATTTCTATCTATCTATTGAGCCTTCCAAGTGATCACATCTACTTAGAAAAAATTATTCAAGTGAAATAATTAATGTTATTTAAAACCTAACATACCTAGTTTTTTATGCAAATATACTTATTTATTTTTAATATATATTTATAGATATATTAAAAAAATTATAACAAGAAATTTTATTTTAAAAATAATTCACCCAAAATATTTTAAAATAAAAAAATTAAATTCTTTATTTAAATGCATCAACATATAATAGAACAAAAGCAAAGCAAAATTGAACTACAAACAATATTTGTTAAGAAGGGTAATAAAAAACAAACAAGTTAACATGAAATAACATGAAACATCAAAAAAAGCTATATATATATATATATATATATGAATGTTAAATAGATCCATGATTTTACATAATAGACCCACCTTTGATAAAGAATATAGTAATCATAATGAATGTGGTTGGTTTTTATTGGTTGCAAATCCAATAATGGGGGAATAAATCTGTAAAACATTATTTTTTTTCATAATGGTTAGGATGGATGGATTGATTTAGTAAAAGCTTGGATCTATTTAACATCTCTCTCTCTCTCTCTCTCTCTCTCTCTATATATATATATATATACATATATAGTATGAATTAACATCTAAAATCTATGTAGCTATCTAATGTGCTATTAATTCCTTCCAAATCTATTACTTTATAAAATAAAAGTTAGAAGATAGAACAAAAAATCTAGAAATAAAAAATGACATAACTTATAGAGTTATTGTACTTTGACAACATTTCAACCAGAGTTTGTTGTAAAAATGTTGTAATTCCTTTATTGAAAAAAATTATTCTTTAATATGAATTTCTACTTCTTTCTCAATAAATAATCACATGGACACATGTGCAAGAATTTATTATAGGAGAAATGTTCAACAAAGATCCATTCACCCATGGATCCTATAGTCCTTTATCTTGCTTCAATATCTATTATTTTCCTCCATTAATGGTATTATGATTATTATTATTATTATTTTTTATCCTTGTAAAAATCCCATAATGGCCTTTAAGACAAAGTGTGAGCCAAATGGACACCACCATGTACAAAGTACGTATTTTCCAAACCAAGAGGGATTTGTACACAAGGTTGTTGGGAGGTATTGAACCTATTAATATGTACAATATATTTCGTTAACGAATTCGAAACGAAAAGATTCTTCGTCGAGCAGTCGTCGGATGCACGTCCGGCGAGGTTTTAGGGTTTGGGGCACTCGAGGGGGGGAATGAATAATACTGGGTCAGTGAAATGTCCGTCATAGCTGTGTGTGTAGTGACTGACGCAACACCGCGAGGCGCGAGTTGCCGATGTGTGTTGTTTGCGAGGGCGGGAGAGAGAGAGAGAGAGGGTGAAGGGGGGGATGGAGGTGGAGAATGGGACTGAGGCTGACGCTGGTTGCTGTCCACAAACAGAGGACAATGAGTTGGTTGCATTACGGCACCGAGGCAACTATTGGAGGGCGATGTCGTCAAGAGGCGACAACATTATTGCGTGGAGGATGACGACGGAGATGGAGACGGAAGCGTGGATCAGCCGTGGGGAGCCATCCTTGCAAAAGACCTCATCCATGAAGCCGCTGCTGCGTCCAGCCCATCAATCCAGTCCCTTTGCACTGATCAGTACTTGAATGGACTCGGGCTTCTGACAGCTCCCGGTTCGCAGGCTGACGAGAGAGCTACTCTCTTTGCTTTTGTTTTGATGAGTCTGTCGAGCCAGCGTAGAAGGGAGCTAGACCGGTGGCGGGGCGGGTGTTGCCAACTGACCGTGGCAGGTGAAAAGGCTTGTGCGTGTCAGGAAGCGCATGTTCCCGACCTGACATTGAATTGGATCCAAGATGGTGCCACCCCAGCGCTCATGGGATTTCTTGTCTGCCTTGCAAGATGACTTGCCGTCCTTTGCTGGAAGTTAGACTTGGGGTGGGGTCTCTGACGACGTTGGCACGACGTCCAACTCGGATCTGGAATTGCGTGCGCAAGAAGAAGTGCATGAGGATGCACAGGAACCCACAACAAGGGGTTCTAGGAAAACTCTTGAAATCAGCTTTCAGCAACATGTTTGAGTAAACCTGCGCGAGTGGAGGCAATGGCTATAAAGCCAGGGTCTAAGCAAGGCTTGAGTGAAGCCCCTAGTGCTTTGGAACTTGATGCACTTTGCTGACCATGATGTGGTGACTAGAAGCAAGCAGAATCATTTGCATATGTATTCTGGAGTGGTTTTCCCGTAAGGTAATGCTTGAAGGAGTAAAGGGTCATGTATGCCTTAGAAAACGTCAAACTGTTCGGCATTAAGTTACGGAAATTCCAGCATCCATTGAGCCAATCGCCATTCATCACAGACATCCTGGATTTCAATGTCTGCACATGAAATTTCAGGCTTGGTCAACTGGTTGAAATGCTTCATGGCAAGATTAATGCTGAGGAGAATTGCTCACCATTCTGGCAGTTTGACATGGCCAAGCAGCAGCAGAGAACTTTCAGGTTGTAGCAAGCCAGAGGCGGAAAATCCGCTTTCATTGTGTTTTTTCTTGCCAATTATGCGGGCATTGTGGGCAATTCGTGAGGCCCAGTCTCAAGTCTACTATGCATACTTTTTCATTTCTTTAAATACGTAATGCACCTGATCAGTGTTGGCATGTGTGAAATCCATCAAATTCTAATTCATCAGCCCTCATAAATCTAATCCCATGAGTATGTGAGTCTGCCATCAAATTGTCACCAGATTAAGCGGCTGTATCAAATCTCTCACTTCTCAAATCATGCCACAACATGGACCTAATAGTATTGAGATAAATCTATATCCAATAATGGTGCTGATAACTCATTTATGACAGCCTGCTGAACTTCCATGAGCAGACAACTACACAAGCAATTCACTGGCTTGATTGTAAATAGCTGAACAAATTAATATAGTTTGTGAGAACCTGATACTCTCCCAATCTTCTTCAGACATTTCAGTGCAAAGCAATGAAAGTACGATGATGGTTTCAATGACCATTTTGGGCGATGGAGCTAACATATGCTTTGAAGTAAGCTGAAATTGGTGTCTGTTGGTGAGGCTGATTCGAAGCTCTGCAGAAATAATTTGGGAGAGAAAGATGAAGTAATGAATGGCAATAGCGCATGCCTCTTCAAAATGTTCTTATCAGTATTTCTAGAAATTGTTGCAAGGCTTTTACGAAACCTCTTTAACGAATTATAAAAGAAGATTCTCGATTATTTCGCAAGTTAGCTAGCTTGATGCGAGACACTTTCGCAAGCCGGTAGAATATTTGGGTAACCTACCTTAGACACTGCAAACATTTCAAAGCTGACCTGGGATGCAAATATCATCCTTCATATTACTTAACCCGTAGGTACATTTCAAGTGCCCAATTGAGATTATCATGTGGGAGTTCCACTATAGCTAAGTTACTAATAAAAATTTTAGGGTAGAAGACCTATCGAGGGCATTACACACAGGATAGCAAAAGCGTTATAAATTAATACAAGCAAGCAAGCAAATGCGCTTGTGCACGACTTACTTTTTATTAACTGGAGAGATCAGATGAGCTGGTTCAGGTGGTCAATTAACGAAGCACTACGATTTATCCCTATATCTATATATATATATGACCACCTGGGCACACCTCAAATTTAATGGAGACTTGTGGAGCCGAAGACTCGGGACAGTAAACTGAACTAATCACTACCTACAGCAGGTTCATCTCTCCGAGCCCAAGCTCTCAAGGGATCAAAATCATGTGGAACTTAACGTATGTAAGGATCGCGAACGTCGTCAGTGAATAGTACAATGCGTGGAAGCTGGAGCGGGTGGTGTAATGAAAAACCATTGACACACGGACCTGTATATATGCACACACCTCGGCATCCTCTATGTGCTCTCTGCATCTTCGCCTCCAGCCCAATCGGTAAGGGCTGTTACAAGCAAAGGTGGTCACGTGCAGATCACTCACCACATCCAAATACGGAGACTGAATATCTTAGACGAAGTTCGGAGGGCAGACTTGACACTTTGTAGAAGCGGGCGGTCGGTCTATCGAACGCCTCAGCAATGCCGGATCATCTCAAAATGGTATCACTGCGATGATTGGCCGGTTATCAATGTATTCAAAAGTTGGAGCCCTCGAAAGTCTGTCCGAAGCCCCAGTTGGCTGGAGCTACATTTGGGGATATGGCCTCAGCGCCATCGCTGGTGACAGCCTTGAAGGAGATGGCTTGGCCATGCATGCCACTGTTGCCGGTAAACTGCCACATCTGCCCCCAGTTGCGCTTCAAGGGTAGCCAGCCAGTGCTGGCACCCTTGATGTACAATTGCTGGACATCACCAGCCCCTCCGACGTTTGTGACGAGCACCAGCAGAAAGTAGGGGTTTCCATTCACGGTGAACCTCATGCCTCCAGACTTGGAGCAGGGCACTCTGGCAGCCAACAGAGCAGAAAATCAGATTCAGAAACGTGTCAAAATTGAAGCTAACCAGAAACCCAAAGCATCTCAAAGAGAGTCATTAACATGAATGTGGAGCGAAACGCCGTACGTTTGAACGAAGGGCTGGATTGTCAAGGTCTACCTTCTGTAATTGATAGGGATTACGCCGCCCACTGTGCGAGCTATCTTGCTAAAGACAGGTTGTGCCAAATCAAAGTGCTGCTTGGGTGGATTGCACCAGCCTCCGTTAGAACCGGTAGGACAGAAGTTTGTTGCAGTGATGATAGCGGAACCACCTGGGAGGCAGTACTGAGAACCGGATGGATCGCACGTGAGCTCGTAACAGGCTCCGCAGCTGAGGCCGGAGTTGAACAACGAAGAACTCAGTGCGGCTGTGTTTGTTCCGTAGCCAGTGCTGTAGAGATTTCCGTATCCACAAGCTCCACCTACAGAAGCATTAACAATGCACAACCTCAGAAATCGACCACTCTCATGAGTAGGGTTGGGCACGTACGTGTCTACAAAGAGGAAAATCAGCGATATTAACCAGAAAACTCGTACTGTCACACTCGCATTACAGAGGACCTAATCTTGAAAACGAGAACTGCGCCAGAGCTTCTAAACGGCGTTACAGGAGAGTAGAAGAATTCTTTGCTAGCCACGGACAACCACGCAACAATGAGGGTAACAGACATTTATGACATTCGTTCCTGTTAACTACAGTCACAACCGGGACACCTCGCGAACGCTTTCACCGTAGCTGGAGCCAACCACGCTCATTCAAGTCAGTGGCCACAAAGATCGAAGTAACCGGCCTTGGCACCCACCTTGAGTACCAGAAGCGTCAGCTCCACCATAGAAAGTGGCATGGGCTCTCCCCCAGTCGCTGCCCATGAAGCTGCTCCCCTTGGCCTCAGCGCAGGCCATCAATGAAACAAGAGTCACCAACACCACGCTACTCCACGGAATGGCCATTGCGGCTGCTGCAGATTGCACCTCCTTACAAACAAACTGAACCCACTTCTCTAGAAAACGAAATGACCGATGCCTCAGGCCTCTGCAGCTCCAACCTTTGTATCGAACGCCGAAATGAGAGTATGAGAGATGGGGGTTGGGATTACGATCAAGTGCTGATGAGAGGAGGTGGTGATCAACTGAGAAGGACAAACTGACTGCTTCTCAGGGTAAAATATCACCAGTGGGTGTTGTACACCGTGTGTCTAGACTTTGTAGAGGAGACTCGGGAGCTCTGAGCTGGGAATGCTGCTCGTCGAGTTTTGTGGTGCCACACATACCAGCGATGTGGGGGAGGTACTTTTATTAGTCTGAAGAGGGAGCTTCATTGTCCTTTGTTCATCCCCCCACGATTTCATCCTCTGCCACCCTCGCTGCTCATGTCAGAAGCGGCTCTGATTCTGTCTGTCTGTGCTCTGCATAAAATGATTCAAGTGCAGCCGATGTTGCCTTTACCACAGCAGGGTGAAAGCGCATTGCGAAGCTGGCACTCGATGCTATACAAGAGCATTGTGAACATAGAAACTGGACTCCGGTGTGAAGTTTAATTTTGTTATTGTTTTTGTTTTTTTCACATACCAATCCACGGAATTCCACCTCTTTTTCTAGAAGTCCACCCGAGATTGTGTCTCGCTGAGTTAGTAACAATCAACAAATTTTTGTGTGCTGCGCTTGAATCCTAAATATTCTTTCGTCGACATTTATTTTTTTATTTTTTTTTTTAATTATTGATACTTGCCACGCAGCCTGGATATTGAAAGATGTGATCATAGAGTAGAAAGTGATTGCAATAAGTTGTGTCAGTGGTGCATATTCCATCTGTTCCCTCACCATTCTGACGAAATCATCTTACCGCTCGCGTTGAATCAACTCTCAGCGTTCTGCTCGAGTTCATCCGCCTCATCGACCTCTACTTTTGTAAATGGCAAGTACGCGAGGCTATTGGGTTATGGATCTTTGTTTTTGATGGTGTTATTATGGATCTGTAGCTGACAGATAGACTGCCGAAAGCAAAACTGCTTGAACTCATTTACCCAGCAAGAAGAATGCTTGTTGCCAATGTCCGTTTCCCTCACAAGAAGCAGTCCGGTCTACCGTAGACTTGGCATCGGAATGCTCCAAAATCCCACGTGAAAACGAACGTTATCAAACAGCAAAGGTCCACCATAAAAGCTGCAATGAAAAACCACGAAGTGAATTTATGTCCACCATCATAACTAGTTTTGCTCCTACTAGCAGCGAGGGCCCTTGACAAGGAAACCGGATCTTATTGACTGTTGCCATTCGAAGCTGCAGGCATTGCCACCTGCCCAGCAAACAATGCTGATCAGAGCTGCAGCTGGAAGTGTACAGAGCCTGGAATAGAATACCAGAAACTCATCGAAGGTGGGAGGTGGTGGTGGCGTTGTAGTTAGTTAGTGGTGGGAGACTTTGGAGGTTGGCTCTGAAGGTACAGAGCTGCTTCATGTGCTCTCGTCTCGATCGCCAGCTCCAAACGACTGCTTCCCTGGTGCAGGTTGTCAGCTAATTCCCCGGAGGAAACCAACAGCACTTAAAGCACCTGCACTTCTTCCCATCCTCTTGCTCACTTATCCTCTCGTGGCGTTCCTGTTTACAAAACAACGCTTGCGGAAAACATTTCATCGAAAATTCTCAGTGTGAGAAGTAACGAGGGTGAAAAAAACGAAGCTCATCTCACTTCCTCTGCAGTTCCTCGCACATCCACGAAATCGTCGAACATTTGTAGCCCTAATCGACTCTGTTGAACATCGCCGCGTGATTTTAGGGCACGCAGATTCTGATTAGGTGACGCAGATTCTGATTAGGGTACACAGATTCTGATTTGATGACGCAGATTCTGATTAGGGCATAGTTCAGACGACGGAACGGTCCACCCTTTTCTGGGGGTATATATGTATTTATATTTATATTTATATTTTCCATTTTGATGGTCTAGAGTTGTGTTGCGTTTAATTGAGGGGCTTCAATTAATTGCCTGAGTGAGGGAGCTATCATGGCAATGGCATCATAATGTGAAGAATTTGCTTTGAAGGCTCTGGAATTTTCTGCTGACGTGGTAAAAGGAAGGTCAAAGAAAGACTATCATTCAATTAACTTTCTTGGAAATAATATTTGTCCCCCATTGATTTCTATTGCATTTTGAATGTATGGAAGTTTGTAAACTGAATTCTTGGTTCATCTCTACCCATAAAAAGCTGACGTCATTGTTTCAAAATATATGATTGAAAACGATTCAAAGTTACTATGATAATTGTAACAACCCTAAAAAAAATGAAATAAAATAAAATAAAGTATATTGTAGACAACACAATACAAGTTCACATTATTGGATGAATGAAACTAATTTCATATGTTCGTCAAGCTTGGTGGTTTGAAGCATTGATTAAGAGATCATCAATGCTATATGGGGCCATAGTCTTAATGGGGGATCATCTAGTTCTCATACCAAAGTTGGCATATTTAATGGTTATATAATCCTCACTTTAATGCAACTTCATAACTAATGTAGTGGTTCATTAACCACAAAATTCTGAAGCCTTTGTAATTCCACCTTCGAATCTTTGGTTGATATTCTTCAACTACTTTTTAAAATTGTTATTCATCCTTATGAATGCATCATTAGCATAGTCCGTTGGTGGTTGCAAAACGGGTGGATTGTGCCTATCACCACAACTAATGAGACTTTTCCTTTCTAAACTTGTGATGTATTATGAATCTACAAGGTTAGAGTTCGAAATGAAGAAACAAGCATAGTTGAAATAGATTTAGAGCCATTTAAATTAGATGGTTTGATAAAATTGTAGGTATTGATTAAAAACATGAAATTTGGAAGCAAATAGAAACATAAGAATAATTGATTATCAAAAACATCATTAATCATATGATTATTCTTAATTTTGTATTAATATAGTTATTATTCAACCTAGTAGAAAGTATTGATTATGCACATATTCAATACAAATTTATGGATTCATTACAATTTTGTGATCTCTATGTAAATGTATGTATGGAAAATTCTAAAACACTTCTCAGGTGTACCTGAATTTGTGTGACACATGGCATTTACACAAGTCTATTTAACTTTAATAGATCAGTATGATTAGTATGAAGAATGCTATAATTAATCCTACAAGTATAATTTTCAGACTGAAGTGTAAGTTTATGCCTTCATATACACCCATAATTGAAAATGTTTTTAGAAAATACATGTGTTATTATGACATACATATGCTATTGAAACATATACATGTTTTTAGAAAATACATGCATTATTGAAATATATATATATTTTAAACTCGAGATTGCATATATATATATATATATATATATATAATATAATATTTTAATAAAAATTCATCTGAAACATTAAAAATAAAAAAATAAAATAAAATGACTAAAACAAATGTTAAAATAACTTCTGTTTATTAAAGTATCTTTACATTATTATTGAGAATAAGCATATGATGAGTTTCTATCTTCTAATCATGCTAGATGCTTAATCAAATTAAATTGAGGACTTCTAATGTCTTAATTTACATCAATTATTTTATTTCTAAAATTATATTCTTACATATGTTATATGTATGTGTATATATATATATATATATAAGAAGAAATCTATTATCTAAAAACTTATACTCATATTACTAAAATAACCTTTTTCTTTTGATTTAATGGTGAAATAAAGAATACATTTCTATTTTGGCTAATTCAAAGTCAAAAAATATGATGATAGAATATATTTCAAACATATTTATTTAATTAGCTTACTTCTATTTATCTTAATTTTATATGAGTGTGTTTTCTTTTTAAAAGATTTTTAGATTCATATCATTAACAATTAAACAAGATTAATAAATATAATACAAAAACTTGATTTCTCTTTGTAAAGAATAGACTATCTATTTTACTTAGGAATTTTGAAGTACTTTTAAAGATGTAGATTATACTCTTGTAAATTGATATTATTTCTATTATACTCCGTATTTATTTTTTTGTTTAATTACCTCATCTCTTACTTATTTACAAATTATCAAGTAATCATATTCAAGGAATAATTAATATAAATAATAAATAATATTTAATAAATATAAAAAAGATAAATAATTGATGCTTTCTATACATTAGTCTTTTTAACCATTTTAACTATCATTAAAACTAACTTCTCAAGAAATCACAAAGATGGTCAAGATTTCGTCAATGATTATACCATCTCAAGATCTAAGACTTGCCTTTGTAAATAGTATTAGATCTAAGCTTTAAGGAATTCCAACATCTTAGTTATTCAATCCAAATCTTTCAATTTTTTTATTAGAACTTTACTTAACAAATATATATATATATATATATATATATATATATATATAATTTTAAAACAAAAATTATGACATATTTATATATTTTTAATATATACGTATAGTTAAGATAATATAATTTACAAAAAAATCAATAAAATTTAAATTTGTAACATTTTATTTTTGTGTTTGTATATAGATAAAAATTTTAAACATCATTTTTACTATAGCTAGATAATTTTATTTTAGCAACTATAGCTAAATAATTTTATTATAGCTATACAATTTTAATTTCTATACAACATCATTTTATAGCTAGACAATAAAAATATTTAATTTATTATTATTTTTTGATATTATGCTTGTTATTTGATGTTTTTTTTATTTTATTTTCTTGAATAATATTAAGTCTTTTATTTTATAATTTTCATAATATAAGTACAAAACAGCAATCATAATATAAATAATTATATTATCTCAATTATTTTCTTTTATTAGAATTTAAATTGTAAGATATTAATCTTCATATCTTTTATGTTTTATTAAAAAAATTGATTAATAAAAATATTATAAAAATTATAGCTAGAAAAATTTTAATTTCTATACGACATCATTTTATGAAGATCTTATATTATTGTATTATATTTTTTTCCTGTTTTTTTAATTACAAGTTCATTTAAGATCAAAAATTCATATTATTACTGTATTGTAATTGACATGTTTTTACAAATCATTAATATATTACAAAGTAAAAATATGATTATAAAAAATACTCTTTATTCATTGCATTTATGAATTTTGTTTTAGAATAATACTAGAATCTAAAATAAAACCCAAATCCAAAAAATAAATATATAATTATAATATTTTATGCCAATTTTAAAATAAAAATTACATAAGAGTTAGTAGTAAAATGTAAAGTGAAATTCAGAAATTATATCTATTAATACTTCATTATCAAAATATCACATTGAATAAGTTTTTATTTTTTATTTATTTATTTCCAAAACACAATTGCATTGTATATAAACTTCTGTATATAATGATTTAATATAAAAGTTATAAAAAACATGTAAATTGATTGAAACAATTCAAATAATGCAATTATTTGAAACAACATACAATCAAAAGTTTAAATTTTCATTTACACAATTTGAAGGAAAAAAGAATAGAAAAGAAAAGAAAATAACTCTTTCTAAGTCCAACCTCTTAACTGATTTTTCAATGTTTTGGTGGTATGTCTAATTCTTTGAATGAGATTGTTTGAGAAATAATATAATCAAAAAATGAGTTAATATTGTAATGTACAAAAAGGAAAGAAAATCCAAAAGTTGGATGGTTTAAAAATTTCAAACAACCAACTATCCATAAAATAAGAAGAATGTTAAATAGACCGAGGTTTTTACTAAATCTACCTATCCATGATGAAGAATATGGTAATTATGATGAATTTGGTTAGATTTCACTGGTTTTAGATCCAATAGTGGAGAAATGAAACTAGAGGTCATTTTATTTCTCCATGAATGGATGGGTCAATTTAGTAAAAGCTTGGGTGTATTTAACATTCCCCTAAACTAATAATAATAATAATAATAATAATAATAATTACTTGGATAAAAGAATTAAAGATAACAGGGGATAGTAAATGAGAGGGTGTGGCTGATTCATAGCAAGAGTGCAGTTTTGCATGCTCCAGGCCAAGCTCATGGATCCAGGAACTGGGTTGCCGAGCAGCTGAACTCTGCACCCTGGTTTGCAGTTTGATCTAGATTTGTAGGGCTAGTTGCTGCTGCTGCTGCTGTTTCTAATGCAGTTGCAGTTGCTAGTGCAGTTGCTGTGGCTCAGGTTAGTATGGTAGTGTCTGAGCTGTGGCCATGCAGGGCAGGTGCGGTGAAGCCCTGGTGTTGCTTGCAGGCCTGGCGAAGAGAAGGAGCTTGACTGACACCCGGTGCTCTTCTTCGTGGCTTGGTGGTGGTGGTGGCCTCAGTGGCCGTGTCAGAAGGCGAGGAGGAGCAACCCCTCCTCACAGCTGAAGATTTGTGTCAAAGGATCCACGACTTTGACAACACATGGCATGCAACTTGTCTAGATTCGTCTCCCTGTGGACCGATCGATCAAGGCCGATACTGCACCTTCACACCACGTGAAGAGATCCAGACGTTGGAGCTGGTGCTGTGCAGGGTATGGTTATCCTTCGGGAGGGGATGACGCTACTTGGTTTTTCATGAGATGAGTGAGAGAGAGATACGTGGATTTTGTTTTGTTCAGAACCATGGGTTTGTCCCTACCTGTGTACTCTTCTCCTCGTGAGGAGATTCCTTGGGGGCTTGTAACTTAATCCAAACCAGACGCATCGACGAAAGGGTTTCGTGTCTCTCACTTGAGTCGGTTCAGAACCCCAACAGTGAAAGTTTCTCGCACGAAACTGCAGATGGACTCTAGCTTGCACGTGAACCCATTTTGAAGAATTTGGGAGGACGTGGAATTCAGAAAAACGGATCCTTGTTACAACTCATATACTGAGACGACGAGGACCATGTAATTGAGAGGGTTATTTGCAGTTTCGCTTGTTTCTCACTCTCTCCGCAGCTTTGCGGGAAGCCTATTCCAAGCTAGAGAGCATGTGTGTGTGGGTATTCATTGAGTAGGGATCAACCTACAGATGAACGAAGAGGTCTTTCGAACCCTATTCAGTACCTGGCATGTTCAGAGTGTCAGAGAAATGATCCGGCGCTGAGAAAAGCAAAGGTGCACCGAGATGGGGAACTCACTATCAAGAAGATCACACGAATTATTGTAAGCTCCAATTGGGTTCTGATCAGCACAACTGAAGCGTGCACCGTCTTTTGAGAATCTTTGTTAAGTCGGTCGAGGGATATGCTCCTGAAAACGGCACAAGGGGTGTACCATTAAGCTGGAAAAACTGCAGCGCCCGGTTTCAGCCATTCAGTGAAACTTTGCAAAAAGCACTCTATCCTCGTTCCTTCTCCACCCCTTCTGTTGACTCAAACCTCCTGATTGCTACGTGCACTAAATCCGATCCGCACCGATTGGAACGAAAACGATCCGTTTCACTTCAATTTATTTGACAGACTAACAATAACCTTAAACATGACAGCGACTCAACCACAACACATCGTTCAACGAAAGCAAAGTTAGCTGCTAGCAGTGCAGGATTTTTCGACTGGAGCAAATCCGATTGCGCAGCCCGCGTATGATACTTGATGAATGAGGTGCAACATGAGCAGGATTTTCGCCACGTCAAGAGCAGGGTAAACTAGGTACCATTGTGCATGTTTTCAATTCTGTGAGCATCATAGAAAAAATCATATGCTTTTCTTTTTTTTCCAGATAGTCTTGCCAACGTTACAGCTCACCATATCCACTTTATATGAAGAGGATTGCAACACATGGTTTCATTTAAAAGCAGCACAATGCACGCAGTGAATGAAGGTTGGAGCAGGCAACTGCGCAACAGAAGATGGAATCAGAGTTGGCCTCTGGTGATGCCGAGACGAACCTGCATGTGATATTGAAGCTGTGAAACCTATATGAAAACTAAGTGATATCCCTGATCATTCCTACACAATAAATCCTACTCCATCTGCTTCAAGACTGGAATAGCCATCATGCACAATGGCTGAGGAGTTTTCTCATCACAGGGAGTCGAATGTCTCGACGTTACCAAAGACTATCTCTCATTCCATGGGCATCTTACACTACGTGCATGGTGCTTCAATTGGGCTCTAGAATTTTCCAGCACACTAGCTGATCTTGTTTCCGCAACCAACTGCTTTCGTTCAAGCGTGAGTGACAAGCTCGCCATTGGTGTATGCAATCCTCATAATCCTCGATTATGCCCTTGTGCTAGTCAGCGGCCTGTGCATGAATCTGAATTCTCGAAGCTTTTCTCAGGCTTCTTCTCCTCTGATTACATCATGCTCAATTCTCGAAGTCGATGAAGCGTGTTCCCAAAGAGCTGTAATCTGTCTACAAGTCCCTCATGTCGCACCACAACCGCCTGTCGTGAAGCTCGTTTGATGAAATTATATCTGTTGGATGCTGAAGGTTGACTTGTGACGTTATGCAGAACATGCTCAATGCGTGATGAAAGCTTGTGGAATTGTATGTGTTGCGGCTGATGTCCTACTTTCGGAGCCTGGTCGCTGACTAGCAAGCTTCCAACACTGTGAATGGCGAAATTGTGTAGAGGTGATCACAATCCTACGCGCCATTACGAAAGGATAAATTCCTGCAATAGTGCTGGTTTCAGATTAAAAAGTGCTTTTCTTCAACTCAGTCTGCCATTTTTCCAGCGTACCGTTGGCCAACTAATGCTCTCAGTGACTAAGTCTTTAAAGGTTCCTATGTAGGTAGTCATTGTTGCGATATTGATCAAGTGCCCCAAATACGTTAAAAAGTTCTTGAAAGCAAGTATGAAGTAATTCGTAGACAAGGCAGTAGTTAAAATCTACTGTCGAAGGATTTTCAATGAATGTTAGAGAATGTATGAGAGAAATTGTAATCTGAACTCTTGCTTGCGGTTTTCCATCCAGAGTTGTTTGTTATTTAATTTCTGAATAAAATATCCGAAGTCCATCAAAACCGAGTCTGATGGCTACGTTGTGGATCATACTACGACGCTCGATGGAATACCTTAAAGGGGACTTCCAAATTTTGCAAGAATGGAGTGACTTACTAGAACTATCCAGTTTGAGCGAGCGCAAACAATTCATGTTAATATCATCCAAACAAAAACTCATTTGCTCATATCTATTACCACATTAGCAAGGGCAACCAGATACCTTTCCGTTTTGTGTGCGATGTTAGCCATGCTCAACAATAAACAGAAGGTATTATTCTTTGTTTTATTAAACAGAAGGTGGAAATATGCGTTACAACGTCCGGGGGGCGTATTCAAAAACACGCTCCACACGGAACGCAAACTCCTCAAACTCGGTGCGAGCAGCTCATCTCCGCTCTTGCACTGCTGGGATGTGCTAGGATTCTTATTTGGGGGGGCGGGGGGGTTTGTGTGTTTTTTAGTGTTTCATTTTTATTTTTTGAATTTTTTTATGTGTTTTTGTTTGTAGTAACGGTGATCCTACGAAAAGTGATACAGAAGGGGAGCGGGTGGTGCAACATGTGCACAGCACCTCGGCAACTATCTCACGTGGATTGGCTACTGGGGCAACGTCATTATTCTCCGGGTGGGTTCCTACATGTGCAATCCGTTTGTCATAGCTACCAACTACATTGCACCGTTATTCAGAGCTAGCAACTACATTGCACCGTTATTCAGAGCTTAAGCATCCAAGCACGTAAGGTAGGTATGGCTTGGAGCTGGAGCGGGCGGGTGAAAAAAAAATCACGCCACTGCTTAGTTTACAAAACGCAGAGATGGATGGTCGATGGCTGCTAAAGCTATGCCATTTCTGCAACCGCAGTGATGTGTGTCCATCTAGTTGGCACCACTGCTGAAGGTCTGGCCAAACCTCCAATTCGCAGGGGCCGCATTGTAAGATACCACTTGCCGGCGGTCGCTGGTATATACTCGGAAGGAGAGGGCAAAGCCAACTATGTTCCGGGGGCCCCCTTTGTATGTCCAAATCTGGCCCCAGTTGCGCGACATTTGGAGCCACCCTGTCGTCGGGCTCTTGATGAACATCTGTTGAACGTCGCCGGCGCCTGCTACGTTGTAGACGAGTACCATCATGTGGTAGGGGTTCCCGTTGATGGTGAAGCGCATCCCTCCTTTCTTGTAACAATGCACCCTGAATTACAAGAGAAACATTATTCACTGCAGTGTTATGACAGGTTCATCCTTCGGTTGCAGAGCCCGAGGAAAACTAGGTGAGAGCAATGATGCAAGAACGGGGGATCAATGCAGTACCTTCGGAAGTTGACAGGGATGACGCCTCCGACTCTGTTTGCCAGGGTGGTGAACATGGGCTCTGAAAGGTCGAAGTGCTTTCGGGGAGGATTGCACCACCCTCCCGTGGATCCTGTGGGACAAAAGTTTGTTGCCGTGATTAAAATCTTCTTATTCTGGTAGCAATATTTGGATTGGCTGAGAATGCAAGTGAGCTCGTAGCATGCTCCACATGTGGCTCCACCTTTGAAGAGCGGCGCACTCAGGGCGGCCGTTTTAACACCGTAACCAGTGTTATATAAATTCCCATACCCGCAAGCACCTCCTGCACATTCAATCCAATAATAGGATGTTGTCAACTAAAGTGGCCACTGAACATTCTTTCCGAACGAGGAACTACGTGGATATGCGAGATGCATATTCTCAAGGTCCAGTCAGCTCATCAATCCTTATAAATTGCTGCAATCTTGCTTGAATTTACGGAAACCACTTATTCGCTATTGGTTGTATCCTACTACACTATAACAAGCTTCAAGAGATGCGTCCAGTAATGGGACAACATTCTGATTGACGATGTACAGCGATTTACACAAAACGTTGCTACATCAAGACCGTCTCGGTCGCCTACATGAGATGACATGTGTTGCTTGTTCAGACAATTGCACCGACATCGTGCAGCACCAGATGTTAAGCTCAAACACATTTTGTCACAAGAAAGATAACGTACCCATTGTGCCGCCCGCATCCCTGCCTCCATAGTATGTCGCATGAGCTGTATCCCATCTACCTGGACCATACACAGCCAGTGCTTGCGAAATGCACCCCGCCAGAATCACGAACAGCGCAGCTGCCACTCGAGCTGACACCATCTTAGGATTCCTCTGCGCCATTGTCATGGATTGTTAACGCAACTTGACTGTGTTCTAACACGACCAGTGGTTTCGCCTTGCGCTTGTCCTCCACAACTGGCGGTGATAGGTTGCAGTGAATGTACTAACACTGGACCATCGAAGAGATTGGACATCAAAGAAAGACGGCAGGGATTCTAAGCTGAGGGTCACAAATTGATGTGCAATGAATCGTGTCGCCCAACCTTACATAGTCCGGGACTTGGTGGTGGTGGGGACATGCACACATAGAACAAGACACTGATCTCCCGCAGAGAGGTGGTCAACGCCGCTTGGGTTTTAGGTCTGCGACGATGCAGTGATTGGTACCATAGGTCGAACTTAGATCCTGTCCCAAGACTTTTTCAGGAGCTTTCCGAGTTCCTGAAAGCGGTCATAGCTTCACACGGCGCTCAGTCTCCGTGTCAATTGCTCGACATTCAACTGAGTTACTAGGCTGTGTGTTGATGAACGCTGCGGTGATTGCAAACGAGCATGCGATTGGCTACCCCTCGCAATTGACTTGCAAATTTAGGATCCCTGGTGCATGATTTCGCACTCTTCATTAATCGACGCAGAAAATTTCGTTGCAATTGGATTACACCACTTGAGAACCTCCGCCCTGATTTCCTAGTTGGCTAAAGTCTCCATTGCCCCCATGAGCTCTTGAAAAATTGCATGTAAGTAACAGTAGACTTTCTGGAACCAGTCTTCTAGCAGCTCATTAGAAGTGCGATTTCACCCGAGTATTTTGTATTCAATTATCGCGACCAAATCATGCCTCCACAGAGTCTCTGATTTTTTGAAGAAAGAGCTCGAGGAAATTGCTGTTGTTTCTAATATTATAACTGCCATCGCTCTGAAAATTCTCAGTAGGCAATATGTGGAATCAGAGATCATGCATTGCATTCCTTTTAATGGACTGCAAACCTTAGTCCTCAACGACCCACAGCGTTCTTTCTTTAACCGATTTCGTTTAGTTCTGAAAATAAACTCAAAAAACAATGCTTTCTATATATACATATGAGATAGAGAGGGACATAATTAGTCTGGTGCTTATCGACTCGAATGTCCAGTTAACGTTTCTCGCCTTTTTACATCCCACAAGACGGTACTCATAAATTGCCGTGGATTTGTAGTGGTTGCAATTGCACACGCTTGTGTGTCCCTTGATCAGACTCCAGCTGCGGATAGTCTGGTCGGTCATCTGCACCGGTCGGTCATAAATAAAAATAAAAATAAAGAATTAAAAACAACTCGAAAAATATATGAGTATTTCCTTACACCAGATAAATCTTCAAGCTATGGTTTGTTTCTTAGCAGAGACCAGTTATTCGACTAGTTCGACTCGAGTCTCTGTCTTTCTGCAGGTTTTGTAGCGAAGAAACTCCCGGAAACCATGCGGGCCGTTCGACTCACATCAAGTTGTGCGAGTGTGGATCGAGGCTCCAACAGCAACCGAGTAAAATTCGTTTTTTGAACATTCAGTACACAAGCGACATATTCAAACACACTTATCTTCTTGCTGGAGTGCGGAACGGGTGGACCTGGAGTCGATTTCCTGTTGCTCAGGTTTCTGTTTTGGTTGTCTGGCATTGTACCTTCGTCACCCCCTCTGACATCTCCTTCCTCAACCCTCGTGTGCAACAGAGTATGCCAGGCATCTTGGAATTCAACACTCTCGCCTTCTAATCCTTTGCAACACCTGTATTAATCCTTGACCGCCTTCCTGAGACTAATTCAGTGCGACAGGATTCTCACTGTCATTCTCTGTTATTATTATTCACATCAATCAAGTCAAAAGAGATAATGCAACATAATGCAAGAACAGGTAAAGTTGAAATGGTAGCTCCTTCTTGGAGTAATACACTCACATGGACTCAATACGATGTGCAAGTGTTATTATCACCGCGCTTCGCATGTCAAAATCTGTCTGTGAACAATTATTGAATTTCTTTTATTACGTTTTAGTTCAGAATAGAAATATTGGATCCATCACTACTATACCCTATGAACTAATCTTATTCCCTTTTGCGCTTTTATAATGAGGTCCTGAAAGTATGTTTCACCCTAAACAGTTCCCCGGACAACTTGATGAGAACATCAGGGTGCTTTAGCACGGTTAGAAGAAGAAAAAAAAGACGACCGTACCAAAAAAAACAAAAACAAAAACAAAAACAACCAGAAAAAGACATTGGAAAAGATCATCAGGACGTAATGAAGCAAAACAAAAAAACTGCATCGAACGGACGATGCAAAATAGTCGCTACTACGCAGGATGTGGATTATCTCTAATTTCAGAACCATAATAAAATGGGAGTTGATTATCGATGAATGGCTCCCGTGATGTCGGCCTGCTTTTAGCAGTGGGACCCAAATTCACAAAATCACAAAGTGACTCCTCAGACTTCACAAACCTCACAATTATAGCATTGGATTAGAGGCTTTCCAGGACCAAAGTTGCGCTCTAGTCATCTGTGCCCGCCCTTAATTTAGAACACTAACCACGGATTATTGCAAATGACAAAACACCTACGCAAACCCTTGTAGAGTTCTAGCCGCCGACCTCATTCATCAGAGGAGCTCCTGTCTGTTCCCATTACTATACTTAGCAACAGATGGAACACAAACTCGGCTTTCGGCGTCCAGAGAAAGAGAAAACTTCCCCAAAGCAACAGATAAGGAACAGTACTCGCCTCCGCAGTGCAACAAGCATGCCGTCCATTTATCCGAGCAATCAGGCCCTCCCCTCATTTTCACAAAGCATGAACTTGATCATCTCGCTCTTTAATCTCCAGCTTCATCATCTTCCTCTGCTTTTGCTCCTTCACTTTGCCGCAAGTTGTCATCATGCTTGTGTGAATCCGTTCTCTACCATACTTTCTATATATGTTTTCTGATAGGATATTATGGTGATAAACTTGGAGCAGTATCGGTGTGAGGCCCTCTTTGTGGCACATACAACAATAGAAAGAAGTCTGCAGTCGCAACTTTTATGACATGGCTTAAAATGGAAGGCCATTTTTATTGCAACAAAGTTCTGATGGCAACGGAACCCACATGGTATTATTTCGGTTGAAGGGTCAGGGCTGCACTTTCCCGCCAGGGCGGCCATTTCCCGCCATTATGTGCCACGTGTCGCTTAGCGGTTGGGCGATGATTTTGGGCGGGAAACAAGACGTGGGCGAGTTGGCGGGAAAATGGGGAGTGGCTGATATTTCCTGTTTTTGTAGAATAGAGATAATCTAAATTCATTCTATTTACAATTTAGTTAGATATTGAATGAGATTTTTTTTTTTTTTTTTAATTGTTAAACTTGTCTTTTTTGGTTTTTTCTAATATTCTGTTTTTCCATGTCATTGCCAAAGTGGTGTCAGTTTAGTTTCATGACTCAAGATTAATCTATTGGAAATTATTGCTATAATGTGGAACTTTGTATCATTGTGCATCTATCTTCAATTATAATTGTTATTGTTGTTATTTTGGCTATTGGGTATAGGCAAGTTAATCATCTTGTTTATGCATTAAATTTACGTAATTTTCAAATTTTTAAATGTACAAAGCTTGTAATGTATTAAAACATCACAAAATTAACATTTTCTTTGTTGGTAGGAGTTTAAAATAGCATAATTTCTTCATATTTTTCATTTCACTTTAATGAAATAAGTAACTGAAAATAAATAAAAACAAAGACACTGTGAAAGGGTGCTGGAGATGAAATTGAGAGTTTCTTTTCTGGACTTGATAATATGATTAAGTAGTTACAAAACAAGAAAATTGAATACAGATGAAAAGAAAAGAAAAGAAAAGAAAAACATGAAACTTGGTGGTGAAATGATCTTAACAAATCAATCCAATTTTGTTCGTTATTCTATACATGCTCCTTGAAGGACACCTTACAAATTTGTTAATAGGTAGACATATCTTGGATTATATTTTATTTTATTTATTATTTTTTAATGCCTTATAACTATTTTTTCTACATATTTACTTTATTCTTTCTTCTCAAAATATTCGAATCTTGTTTATAAACGTTAGATGTATTGTAGTTTCTAAAGGAATTGTTTCCTTAAAAATTCTATTTTTAATTTTCAATTTTAAAAAAATCGTTTACACCTTCAACACCTAAAATGATTGTTTTGGTCTGAAACCTCTTTTATTATGTTTGAATCATATTTTAATGGTAATAACAAAAAAAATCATACATGAGTTCAAATTTTGGTCATATGTAAAGCAACATGTACCGAAAAATTAAGTACCAAGCATTTATTGAGTAATATGTACCCAATATATGTTTGCATATACGTATAATTTTCTTTCATTTCAGCATACTTTCTAAAGTTGAGTATGTTTTAGTCTGTGTTTCATAAAATGGAATATGCTTAATATTTTGTAGGTAGATAGTTCTTAATATGAATGAAATTGATTTGTTAAAGAGTGCAATATTTGTATGTTGTAAAAAAATTAATGTACATTTCTAAAATTTTGAATTGGAAGACTCCACTCTATTACTAAAGTTCCGCTGATTCTACAATTGTAGATTCTACAATCAATATGTACCAATAATTATCAAATTGAGTCTGTCCAAAGTATTAAGATTTTGATCAGGTTAAGTTATTGATTTTATTATTATTTAATTATTACAGCAAGTTTGATGCCAATTCTCCTACGTAGTCAGAATAACTTTCACAACCATAATCCATTTGTAAGATATATTCAAGGAAAGTTCAATTTTCTGTCAATATAATAAATTAAAAAAAAACAAAACAAAACAAAACAATAATCTTAATACTGGAGGATTGACAACCATAAAAACTCCTGTTGTCTCAATAAACATGCACCATTACAAGAACAATTGTTATGCTTCAATAACTTCAGCACATCAATTCAATTTCAAGTTTTACAACACACCCCCCCCCCCCCATAAACAATCTAATAAACTCAAATTAACAAGGAATTGTGTTATTTCTCATGGATTGTGAACCTTGCATCAGAATCTCACTCTCTTGTGAAAATAAATCTGATAACACATGACCAAGTAAGCATTGAATAGAGTGCACAAAACCAATGACATGAAAATGTGGGATCTGTATGCAAGACAAGATCACTGTTTTCCACAAGGTTCTTTCTAATTGTGACAAATAGCTCATGTCCTCACAAGCGAGAGAGAGAGAGAGAGAGCAAAGAGGGGGGAAAACAAAGAAACAAAAAGAAAAGAAAAGAATCAGAAACAAACAAAACCGAAAAAAACTGAATGGGATACAAAACAAACAACAAAAGAAGCCAAGACCAATGACACTGCAACCAATCACCCAAACAACAATAAAACAAACATGAATAAATAAATAAATGAAAGATGGACATGGGGGACTTTGTCCATTGTTGTGCACTGACACACACACACACACAAACACTCACACACAAGCATGAGAGGTGTGTGCCCTTTCCTAATCTAATGCTTTTGAATGGTTTATTGAAGAGATGCCTCCCACATTAGCAGGAGTTTGAGGCAGTCCTTCGTGTCCCCAAATACGATACATAGAAAATGACAAAATTAATGCAAAAAAGAACAAAACCCATCTTGTGTTCTTATTAGAAAGAAAGGTTGTGGAGAGAACAAGCCCGTCGGCATGGCCATTGACCTTTCTTCAATACTGTTTTGGAGCCCCCTTCCAAGTGGCCAAGTCCACAGCTAAAACCAGCTTCTGCTAATGAATACCATGAAGCAGCTACAGTTGCCTTGGATTGCAGCTCTTGGATGTGAGGAATGTGCATCAAATGGGTTTTCTCAGCACCCCAAATTACAAAGCATGATATACAATGTGAGAAAAAAATGCTTCTGGCGCAACATGAATGCAGAAAAGAAAGTGCTACTTTCTTTCATTCACTTTGTTTTTGTCTTTGCAGTAGAATGGATAACTTAACTGTTGATTTGAGAAGATAAAATCATTGTACCTGGTATTCCCCCCCCTCCATGGAACAAGCCAAGGTGGGTGAGTAAATGCAAACACTGATCCAGTGACCTGCATGATTGTACCGAAACCCAGGTTTGATGACCCATCTTTTCTAAATGCCGCTGTTTCGAGAGTGGGAGGAGAAAGAGATGTGGGAGGAGGCCATGGCACCAACTAGTGGTGACATTGAGCCCTGCAATGCAATGCAATACAGAGCAGTTTCTATGCTCAAGGGTTGCTGCATTCCTGCAGATGCTGTGCAAAGGCAACGCAAAATAACGGAGCGGAAAACTGGCCTTGGGGACTCCGTCAACCCCTGAGGAGGATTCAAATTGGGGTGCCTCGGATCCCACCACGCAAAGCAGAAGAAGAAGAAGAAGAAGAAGGAAGAGCTCATTACAGTTGAGGTCTGAGTGAGTTGAGTGAGCCTCCCAGGGCTCACACAGGAACACCCATCTGACAGCTACTTAGAGCTCCTCAACCACCGCGGCGTCGCTACAATGCTTCTTTTTTTCCTATTCTCCTTCTACGATTTTGGCTTGCCTGATTTGCTTGCTAGCTTGCTTCCCTGCCTGTCTGCCTTACTTTCTGCCTGGCTTTTCCGGACAAGGTAGCCTAAACTGCCCCTGCTACTACTCCATGGTAACAAAAGCTCAGCTGGTGATGGGCATTGAAAAGTTCCTTGTTCCACACTGGAATTTTTTAGTAGACCCCACCATAATTGATGCACACAGCAATTGTCAACTTGGGGGTACTGCAGGAGACTTTCCAGTGTGGAAGCACAAGAAAGGGATGATTGACTCGAAGGTTTATAATCTTGTTGCCCAAGCGGAGGGTTCCCAGGATCTGGAAGACGTTGAATAAAAAACCGATGAGAAGTTAATGCTAGTTATCTCACTCCACGCTCAATCGGGGTTGAACGCCAGGCGTTACTGCAGCTCACTTCTTCGGCTGTTGCTAACTGCTTGTAGATGCAGTTGGCGGATGAAGCATGCTGCTCACAAACGTGCGCTGCACTGTTCCTGATGCAGTTGCACCACTTCAGTTTGCTGATTTTCTGCAACGCATTTGAGGTAAACGTAGTCGACAAACCGACTAACGAAAACAGATTTGAAGAAAGTTCATTGCAACCAGATGTGATAAGCGTATAAGAAGAAGCCCTTCATTTATTACAATGTCTGTTTTTCTAAAAAGGATCATTTTAGTAAGTTTTTTATTGCTTTTCTTAAGAGCAGGTGGATAACATCTAAGCCATTCTCACCACTGCACAATAGTTGCAAATAACGCTGTAGCATGGGGTCATGCTTTGTGCATTAGATTTTAGAGCTGGTGCTCAAGAGCATCAAAATTCTATTACATAGAGCAGGCCTGGTACGTGTTGTGGGTATAAAATACAGGTAGGAGCGGGTGTTACAGGCACACCTCAGCAACCATATAACTTCCTCACTGCGCTCAAGGCTATGGTAGGCTTGGAGTGGGCATTGATTGGAAACCAATAAGAAGCAGCAAGAAGTGCAAAGCTAATAATCCTACCCGCTAATCTGCACCTACTGCTTGAGATAAAGACTGGGGTAGAGGAGCTAAGCTGACTACTAGCTAGGGGAGTAAGAATGTATACCAGACAGACAGACAGCGGGCGAGATATACAACGCCTCTGCTAGGGCTTCAAAGTACCGATCACAATTGTTCTCTGAAGATATGTAAAAAAATTATATGGTCTACGGTCGCCATGGACCATGAAGGGCCAGGGTCAGAAGTTAACGCCTTCAAACGTCTGGCCGAACTGCCAGTTTCCGGGGGCAGCGTCCATGGAGACAGCCACGGATCCGTCGCTGGTAACGGCCTTGAAGGAGAGAGCCTGACCCTTCATCTTGCTGTCGCCGGTGAACTGCCACATTGAACCCCAGTTGCGTGACATAGGCTCCCAAGGGGTGTTGGAGCCCTTGATGTACATATGCTGCACATCCCCAGCGCCGGCAACGTTGGTGACGAGCACCAGCAAGAACCAAGGGTTGCCGTTGATGGTGAAGCGCATGCCGCCGGATTTCACGCAAGGAACTCTGTGTAACATGGCAGGCATAATGTTAACGGAACCATTTCAAGGCCTGGAGCTCGCAAACAGTAACTCGGACACATGAGCATGTGAACCTGTCGATACCTAGCGGGTGTTCTCAAGATCAGAGGAAGAACTGTTGCGGCATGACCAAAATATCCAAGCAGTCTTCACAAGATCGATGGCAACAGAGGGTGCAGAATGAAAGCCCACCTTCTGTACTTGATGGGGATGACGCCTCCAACCTCTCTCGCGAGGCTGACGAACATGGGGTGAGCGAGGTCGAAGTGCTGCTTGGGAGCGTCGCACCATCCTCCCAAGGACCCATGGGGACAGAAGTTGGTCGCAGTAACGGTGACTGTTGGCCCCCCTGGAAGGCAGTATTTGGAGCCATTGGGGTCGCAAGCAAGCTCATAGCAGGAGCCGCAGCTAAGGCCACTGTTGAACAAGGCAGCACTGAGTGCCGCAGTGTTGGTTCCGTAACCGGTACTGTAGAGGTTCCCGAATCCACATGCCCCGCCTGCATTTCAAAAACCGCGCCAAGAACAGTCATGGTAAGTAAATTTTCACATAAACGAATGAATGATCGGGTCACACACTGAAGGGCCGCTAGGCAAACGCGCTCAATCGATCAAGCTCAAAGAACGCCGAAATCAAGCTTCGCATCAAGACACATGAGAACACTGACATCCTTCGACGACGAGCTCACAGAAGCAGACAGACGGAAACATAAAGAAATACCACAGGAACCGATCACCCGCCCTCGCAGGGGTGCGAAGAGACAACACTCTTCTGTGCGGTCCGGCGCTGACTACCAGGTCAACAAAATGAGCCAGTCCTCATCCCAACCACACGAAACACACATTCCAAATACTGAACACAGGCATAAACCAAATGGTCGCGGTGACTGCTACCTTAGCCACCACCATCAACCCCATCATCAAAACTCATCTGCTCTGTGTGAAGAAAGACATCAAGACTCCCGCCCAAACTTGACTGCGCCAACTCGCCCAAATATACTACCAGTCCATAGATAGACAACCAAAAAGCCAGCCAAGAAACGCGGACTCCTCCACTTCACCACAACGCCGACCCACCTTGAGTTCCTGACGCATCAGCACCGCCGTAATACGTAGCATGGGCATAGCCCCATCCTCCCGCCATGAAGTTGCTGCGCGCCTCCGATCCAAAGGGCGCCACCACCAGCATCAGCGCCAAGACAACAGTCCACACCATAGCCATAGCTTCCATTGCCTGCTCTCAAGCCGACTCCTGCACTCTACCACCAAGTCGAGAAAAAGAAACTCCAATGCTCCTGCCCACCCAAGGTCGCAAACAACAATGCAGGTAAAAGTGACAACGCTGAAATGGTTATTGTTGGCAGGAGGAGGAGAGGAGAGAGAGACTCGATGGGTGCAGCGAAGTAATGCAGCGACCGGTTGGCAGTGAGTACTGCAATATGTACTAGCCACACCTCATCAGTCTGAACAACTCCCCTGCAGTTATGCTGCAATGCCTGACACTGCAACTGGAGAAGAATATCGACAACAACAGCAGCAGCAGCTATAACTACAAGGAGCAGGAGAAGGAGGACGAAATGGAGGGCAACGAGAGCCCACTGCCAGATGAGAGCGCGTCGATGGGGTGATGGCGATCGTGCAGGCAGAGCAGAGGTATATATAATGTGACTTATTATTTCAATTATCACCACCCCCCTAAATTTACATGCCTCCGGCACTAGCTGTACCTTCGGTACCCCCTCGCCCCCTTGACGACCCCTGCGCCTCATTTACTGCGCTTCAGTAATGCGCCTCCTCCCCCTCGGCAGCACCAGCAGCACCTGCAGCCTCAGCACCAGCACCAGCGTCACTCTGAGCAGCGCAACCTCGAGACTTTTACCGCACAGTTATCCCTACCATTAGTGTATCAGAATCATGGTTTTGAAGTATCTGAAGCTCATTAAGCAAGGAAACATGACGAAATGGGATGTGGGTCTCCACCGCAAAGTGCAGGGATGATGCGAGGAGCTGGATTTTTTTGCGTAAGCTTGTTAGTTCGTTGTTTTTGCCCCAGCAGGCCACCGTGGGTTTTGTTTTGGTTATTGTTGGGGGGTTTTTTTTTATTTATTTATTAGCTCTTCCTCTGTTTCCCTGCTTTGGTAAAGTAATTTCAGTGTGTGTGTGTGTGTGTTTTTGTTTTTGGCGGCTCTGGGTGATAATGCATGGAAATCAAAAGGGGGAGGGGGGGAGGAAAGGAGTGGGATCTGATTCCGCTCTGCCACAGAGCCAGTACACACCCACCATTACCGGACTGTGATGTTTGTGGTAAACAGACCTCAGTTTTCTTTATTAAATTAGCAAGCATATAAATAATCAAATAAATAAGCAGAAAATACTTGAGGTGGGTTACTTGTAGTAAACACCAAGAGTGAGATTTATTTGTTTTTTTAGTTTTTAATTTTTGGCATTGTGTAATTGTACACACATGGTTTTTTTAGGTGTGATGTGTCGCGTGTGGTTGTCCCTCGGCCGACAAAAGCAACTCCTTCTTCCCTTTTGCAATCTTGGTCTTAGGCTGCTGGATGTGGAAAACTTATAAATTCCAAACAAATGAATTAATTAATGAATGAATGAATAAATGAGTAAATGAATGTTGGGGATTAGGGAGCATTCTCGAATCTGCCACATCATCAATGTTTAGTGGAGGTGTTTATCAGCATTTGCTGGATAAGAGAGTTTCTCCAAACCTTGCAAAACAAAGATAACCTACAGAATGGAAATAAAGAAAAACTAATAACCCAAGTGTGAATTTTTTTAGGAACTATGAGCAGATTTGAATGTTGAAGTGAAATGGAATCGAGCAGCGTCCCAGTGTAAAAGAATTTCGTGATACATTTGTTAAAAGTTTACAAAATTATTAAATATAAATTTGTGCCCTAATTGTGGTTTGCAGAAATAGTGGGAAAGGAAACCTACCTACCCTGCAGCAACAAAAAAATAAAAATAAAAATAAATCATCATTCGCCTCTGGAAGCATTATGAATGTATGCATAAAAAATGCTTAATAATTATTCTAAAAAAGCAACTCAGGCAGAAAGTTTTCCTGTCTTTTTCCTTTGTGCCAGATTTGTATGAGAAAGTGATGAGGAGATGCCAATTATTATAGAGTTGCTTAGAATTCATTTTTATTCATTTTTTCCGGATTAAAATTAGAATATGAATAGGAAATTAATGGGGATCAGTTTGGGTATTACAATGAACAAAATAAAAAGCGTGCCTTCAATTTTTTATTTTTTAGTTTATTTTTATTCCTCCTTGTTCTTTCTTTACTCCTATCTTCATTTATTTATTTATTGTTTTTATTGTTGTATTACTTCGGCGCCAGAAATGTGCAAAGCTGGGGGCTTATATACAAGTGGGACCCACCTACCCTGTCACCGTGTGTCCGAACCACTCCTACCCTATCACCGCCCCTCCCATCAAAACCAAGGCTGGTGTTGGTGCGATGCCATTTTTTAAAGCGAATGTGAGTGTTCCTTTAAAGTCAAGTCAAAATATTTTCAAAATGCAAACTAATTTCGACACATAACTATATATATATCTTTTTTTGGAAGATATAGCATTCTTGAAAAGTTATTCGTCTGTAATGATTGAATTCACCTCTACTGCTTACAATTCAAAAATTCTCATTAACACCTCTAAATAAATTGTTAATTATTATTGTAAGCTCACATGTACAAAAGTATGTTACATTATTTTAAATAAAGATAAATAAATTATAATTAATAAAATGGATAAAACATCCAAAATATATTTTTAGATTATTTTAATTTTAATAAAATTGAAACTTTAAATATCCAACTTACATATCTTTGTTCTACTTACATGAAAATCTAATATATATATATATATAATATGTAAAAAGACAAGAAATCATACACCAATTGTTTGAGTTCAACAAAGGATGTTGATGTTGTTGTTGCACAAGAAGACCATATGTGAATATTACTCTATTCACCATCCACCAAAAGTTTCTCTACCACATTAAAGTAAAAGAAGGTAAAAAGGACAAACAAAAAAAAAGATGAAGAAAGGAAGGAAGTGGTGAATCCCACCCACAGTGATCATGCCCCAAGGCTAACTAGAATGCCGCTGCCGCCTCCAGACGCCGACTGACGCCGCCTGACGCCGCCAGCCGCCGCCAGACGGGGCCACCACCAGAACCAGCCGTTACTCCCTCAATCCCTCAATTGCTCGCTGGGTGGGTCGATCGATCGATGGCGAGTCTCGTTGTGAAGGCTACCTAGCGAGGTGGTGGTGGTGAGAGAAAGAGAGAGGGGTTCAGTTACATGGGGATTGCGTTGGATTACATTGCATGCCCCCTCATCGTCCTCTTCTTCTTCCTCATCGTCTTCTTCTGCTCGGTGGTGGTCTGGGTGATGATGGATTCGCCTGCAATGACGAGCAGTGATGGAGGAAGGACGCGGGGCGGATGCCACTACCACCCTCGCCATTTTGTGGTGGTAATGGTGGTGGTGGTGGTGGTGGTCCAGGTTGATTCAAGCCTTGCTCGCTCTCTCTCTCTCTTTCTGCTTCACCCTTTTTCCCTTCGTGGTGCTACCATGACATGGCACTGCACTGCGATGACTCTGACGGCTCCCAGGCGTGATGGATGATGGACGATGCCCTCTCTCACGGCCCCCCGATCGTCTGATCCCCGGCGCATGTCTGGGCTCTCATCTCGCTCGCACCCTCGTCATCATCACCAACCCTGGAGATCTCTGTTTTTTTGCCTCCTTGGGGTTTCTTTTGCTGATAGTAACTATTCTTGGAAAAACATCAACTCGGGCTTGTGGCTCGTGGATCCTGTTTTCCCAAGCTCACGCTGGGTTGAACCTGAGGTTGACATTTGTTACTGCTGCATTGTCCTTGGCCTTTTTCTCGTGCAGAGGCGGTCATCATGCATCGCGAGACCGGCCAGAGGAGAGACGACAATAAGTGAACAAGAAAAAGGTGTAAAAATTCTATTCGGCGGCTTTCATCTTATCAGTAGACATCGTGTGCTGTCGGCTCCCTACGAGTTAGCGGGTGTGAAGCCAGTGAATCGCCACTGCTGGAGGGGGGGGGGCTTGATCTGGTGTGGCAGGTTCTGTCAGAGACCTGCAGCGGAGTTGTCCCATTCGCGGTAAGCATACAGCGAACCGACCGCCGGTCCTTTGTCAAACTCCGTCGGAGCTCTGGCACCGTCAACTGAGGGCTACAGCGAGGTCCTCGCCGCGCGGGGTTGAAAGTCTGTTACTAGCTTTTGTCCTCGCAGGGCTTATCACCCGACGCAATGATGCGTCCGATCCGAAACCCTGCCTGCCGCGATCGGTGAACACTGAGCGCAAGATTGTCTCCCCAATCTGCGAGCGCACGGCGTCGCCACGCACCACCACCACCCCCACCACCCCTCCGGGTGTCCCAACTGGGTGCAACCTGAGGGGGCGTGGCGACGAGACTCTGAGCACCACCCGCGACGTGGCTTACTCATTATGGTCGCGCCTTGTTTGCAACCCAGCAACGGTTAGCAAATCACCAAATCTGAGGCTCCATTTCAAAACTTGCAGTGACCTCGATTGCGTCCAAGTGCCGGAGACACTGGTCAACTCATCCTGGATCGATCTGTTTGGCTTCACTTAATGCGCACGCTGCAGTGCAGGGCCAGGACTCTACGACACCAGAGACAAAACTCCATACCCATTGATGCACAAAATGCCAACTCTTTGTCTTTTCTTCTAATCTTTCCCTGACCACACCATTGATGGCATGATCTTGCTGCTTCGGCGAGCACCGTGCTCTTCAACTCCTTAACGTCAGTTCTAGGATTCCTGGTGTTTTCATTTTACTAGAACAATGCAGTGATGCTTCACATGGTGACACCTCGGTGTGCAACTTGTGGTTAGGTTTTTCTCCCTTTTTGAAACATGATGGTTTTGCATGTTTCTCACAAGCATCGTGGAGTTTTAGTGCGTCACTTTAACAAGCGGAAGAGAAGAGTGGGTTTCAAGGAAAGTGAGGAATGAAGTTCTCACAATCTTAGAAACATAAAGAAGTCTACGAATGTATAACCGAAGAACTGGAAAGAGAGGGAGTGTAGGTTTGTTCAGAAAATAAGTTATTGCATTGTAGCACGCTACATTGAGAGCACAATGACACTATACTCACAGTATATGCCAAAATGTTTTTATTTTATTTATTTATTCATAATTGTTTTTTTTTTTTACTTCTATGCTGTCCTTTAAACACCGTTTCTAAAAGTCATGACATGTAGTTTTTGATATATGTAGTTTTAAAACTTTTAATAAGTCAGACATGTGTGTATGTGTATATATATATATATATATATATAATCTCAACTTGTATCTGTCTACTAAATGGAAGTATATATATTGAAATTATAATAAAATTATTTTTAACAAGTATACATTATTTAAATTTTAAAAAATATTTTCAGGAAGTGATTTTCTTTGATTTATGAATAAAATAATACATCTAAAATGATGAATCATTATGGGGGTCAAAAATTTTAAAAATGGTGGATATTGTGATGTATGCCTTCCTGATTTCAAAGAATATAAGCACTTATATCAAATATCCACCTCTTATATCAAAAGATATAAGTCTTACA